CCCACCAGAGGCAACGAGAATGTAAAACAATAAAATTCAAACAGGTAATATTGAAAATGAACGTTTTCTGCTCCACTTTTATCAGAAACCCCATACTGATTTAAAAAAGATGAAGTAAAGACACTGTTTTGTGAGTTTTTTTTTCTACTCACAAAAAGTTTGGGATATTTGGCTTTCATTTGAAATTTATGGTAAATGTAAAACGTTCATGCTACAGTGACACCATATCATTAAAATAGGACATTTTAGAAGAAGGATGCTTGGGTGATTTCCTCATCTCAAATAATTCATTGAAACAAAAATTAACAATAGTGGGTACAGCACAACAAAAAATGTCAATGTCCCAATAACTCGTCATGTGCCCTTGAGCATCAATTACAGCTCATGCTATTCACAAGTCGGCTTATTTTCTGCTGAGGCATGGCATCTCACTCTTCTTGAGGGGCAGCCCTAAGGGCATTGACGTTCTGTGGTGCAGAGTTTGGAGCTTCTACATGGCGACTCAAATGATGATCCCACAGGTTTTCAATAAGATTCAGGTCCGCAGAAAGTGCAGGCCAACAGCCATTCCCTGATGGTACAACCTCCATGAATTTGAGCTTTGTCGTCGTCCATGAAGATGAAATTAGGCCCGCGTTGTTCACGTCGGGGCAAAAATCACTGGATGAATTATGTTCTTCGGGTTGTATGGCGTATTGCTGGACCATTCACAAAATGTAGGGCAGTTCTGTTCAGATTGGACACACCTGCCCACACTGTAAACACGGCCAACACCAAAAGCTCAACAGACTTTCATCGGAGAACAGCACTAAGGCCCACTGGTCCCTCGTCCAGCGTAAATGCTCCCTGGCCCATGCATGACGATGATGCCTGCGCCTGGTGATGTGGCCAGGTACCTTTGCAGGTCACCGAGCACACTGACCACGCTGATGTAAATGGTTTTGCATGGTCTGACATTACCCTTGGTTGCCTGTCACCTCCCTTAACCATTCCTGGAGTTGAGTGGCATTCATCATCCGGATTCTCAGGGCGTTCTTCACAATGTAGCGGTCATCAGCATGGTGTATGGGCAAAGGGCGTCCACTTCGACATCTTTCTGTGACTCTTCCAGTCTCTCAGTATCTCTGTTGCAACTGCTAATGACACTCTGAGGCCAGTGGCCACTTCCATCTGAGAACGTCCTGTTTGAAGCATTACAATGGAAAGGAACTGTTGATCCATTGTGAGGCGCCATCTTGGTCTCATGATGTCAAAATGTGAACAGCATGATGAGTATGACTGTTGAAACGCCAGCTCTAATTAAACCGGGCCATTTATTGGTTGATTCAAGGATCAAACACCTGTTGTGGATTTTGCTGTTAAGCACCTCGTTAGAGAACAGCAAGAAGTACTGAAACATCTAACAGTTGGACAAGCTTAGAGAAGGTCAATTCTTAAGGCTTGTCCTGAATCACCCAAATATCCCTAATTTTTTGTCAGTAGTGGGCATTAAAATGTTTTGAAGTGTTGAAAGCATATGCAAAGACTGATAATAAAGTCCTGAATTGTTGATTAAAGTGTTCAACTCTCTTTTTTTGTTTTTTGTTTGTTGTTGTTTTTTTTTTTTTTTTTTGTCTGGATGTTTTGGACATGGCTAGAATGGGCCCAGAAACGCAATTGGGCTCCTGGCATGAATCGGGCCTCCTCAACTACAGAAGTAATGAGTGCTGTCATTCATTAGTGGCTCTGTCGCAACTGCTAGTTAGTAATTATAGGGGTGAGTAATTATATAACTTGGCCCATTTCTGCCACTCTGGCATGCAAGTTAATCTGAGCTGCTTTTTTTCCACAAAATGAAAAATGAAACAAGTGAATGAACATCCTCATATACATGTATGTATATATCTATCTATATATCTATATATATATATATATATATATATATATATATAGATATATAGATAGATATAAAGGACTTCAAGGTGTGTTAAGTGCTCCATTTGAACATGTCGCACGGCGTCCAAAAGCTCGGCAAGCGCCTTTCGGCCAACATCATAAAATGTGTCTGTTTATTTATACGTGGATTCTACTCTCCGTTCCTTTTCAAGAAATTTCAAGAATTATCTGTGACCCTGTCATACCAACAAGGCGTCTTTTCCAGGGACTTAACTAGTGTCATACAACTACTGCAACTACAATAAAACCCACCAGAAATAAAAGATTAATTTGTCGCTAGTCGTTTTCAACAAAGAGTGTCGCACAGATGATTAGAAGAAGTCTCCAGCTCAACTCAGAACAGAATGAGAATTGAAAAAACGCTCCCACGATACCTACACCAAAAGATCGGTGATTGGCTCATTTCGCTGTCAATCAAAAATAGATTTCGCCTCAGACAGATCAAACAATCATCATGCAGAAAAGCTCAGCGTCCGGGCCAGCCGATACACGCCCACTGTCCATAGACTTCCAGAGACGCTGAGCATCCGATGGGCGGGACAAAACCAGCATTTATCCAATGACTCGTCTCGTTTCAATGCACTGGGACAACCGACACTGAACTCTGGACGCCCAGCGTCCGCACAGTTTAAAGCACAGTGAAGCTGCGGGAATGAATGAGAAGAGAGTCGCGTCGCAACCAGTAATAAGAAGCTGTTTCGGAACAAAGTTGAGCGTGTTGTAGCGCATATTTAGTCAATGACATGTACACACAATTTTATGTACACACATGCATTTGATCACTTATTTTTGGACATTTTAGGGGAAGCTGAGCTTCCCTTGCAGTCTTAGAGCAATCGCCTCTGAGATATATATATATATATAGAGAGAGAGAGAGAGAGAGAGAGAGAGAGAGAGACAGGGGTTGTCTACATGAAATTTTATTTAGGAAAGTCATGTTTGCAAAGTGGAGAGAGCCAAGAGATAGATATAAGCCAAATTAGCCTGTCCCAGATATTTTCAAGACTATATAATTGCTTTGTTTAATTTAAACATCATTGAGTAACTTTTTTTACAGCTGGCAATTGCAGCTGTTAATTTGATTTTCATTACATGAACATTTCTCTAATTATATTGTTCATTGAAAATTTACTTATCTTTGTCACATTTGTATGCATATAGTTTTGCATGCACGTTGGTGTGGTTGTACACATGCTTCCCATGAAATAGAATTACAATTCTACCGTTAACATTAAACTTTTACAAAGTATTATCAGTCTTTGTTTGCTGCTTGTGAAACTCACTGTGCAGGCTCCCATTCTGAGCCTCCCCTTATCCATAAAACCAATGTGACACTCATATGCTTACTGTAATGGCAGACATTTGAGCACAATACATGAGAACCTACTAATTGAGGAGTCGAAAAGGGCACCCACAGCATCTGAGAGCTGAGGCATAGTCTCGATTTCACCATTTTGAAGCCTGATTTGATATATTTTTTAAATTCATTCAAATATGGCAGGCTTGTTTACAACACTCAGGGTCGACTTTTTTGCGTCACAGGGTCTTTAAATAACATTTAACATTGAGAACCACAAAATCAAAAACAACTTTTTGTTAAGGTTTGTATGTGACCCCAATTGCACGACACCAGAGAGGAGGCTGCCTGGCTGGCCCATCCCTAACACTTTTACCACCAACCTGTGAAATGCTTGTTTTAAAGAGTTTGAAGTTCAGAAGTTCATTGCTGAATTATTTGTAAGTATTCTGACCATGAGTGCAAGTTGAGCCCGAGGCGAGGAGGGCGGGCAGGACTTTGTTATGGTATTTTCACACATCAACTTGGCATAGTTTACTAACGGGCATCTTGCGCCGTTGTGGGTGTGAACACCAGAGATGGGCACTTTACCCTATTTTGCCGGTCTGTCCTCTGCCCGTGACCTGGGTACCCTTCCGTTATCGTCCCTCCGTCCTTATTTATATAATAATCGTTCTGCTTCATGACGGTACAAACACATAATGGAGGAATCTAAATGCTGCCTAATGGGTCAAAACTGCAATCGATGGCCATCAATATTTATGTTGACATGTTTACTTAATGTTCACATCAGCCGATGAAAATATTAGAATGAATGCCCAAGTATTAGGGTGTTTTCCTCTTCATAGAGGCGCTCGTTACAAACCTTATGTCACTTCACCAGAGAAATGCGTCATCCATAAAATACAAAACACACAACATGTCTTGTCATAATACAACATGCCACACTTAAATATGTCTGACTCTCGCATGCAAACATTGACATTCATCGCATATACGCCTGCCGACCGAACCTTATTTTCAATAACGCCATGATTTGCTGTTGCTGATAAGACTGGCCATCAATCAAACAAAATGACATCAATGTTTAAATTTTTAATGACTTTGTGATAAGCAATTCAACATTAGTATGTAACAACACAAAATAGCTACTGTTATAAATTAGAATAAAAACTTTACTTTTAGAAGTTCTTGCCTCAAATAGCACAAGGCAAGCACCGGGAGACATACAACACAACCAGCTTTCTTAACCTGCTGGATTGATTATTAGTGAAAAGGTCCGTAGGTACTTTGTTATGTTCTCTGACTGTATACTAGGTGGCAGTGTTGCTAGAAAAATACGGTTGAAATGAAAAAGGTTGTGCTGATAAGAAAATACAAGAGTTTGGCTACACTCTGGCCTTGTTATTTTGCTTCCCCACACCACATACTCAACTCGGTTAGGGACGAACAAAGGGATGGACGAAAATCCACTTCCGTCCTGGCTTAGTTCGTCACTTCTTGTCCTCCGTTCCAAAAATGGGTGTTCGTCAGACGAGCCATTCTGTCCCAGGGAGGTAATGCCCATCTCTGGTGAACACAGCTGACATGATTCACTGCCAAAAGCAGCCTATGAATAAGGAGCCCTGATGTCTTCATTCCTTATTTCACTTTTTTTTTTTAAACGAAAGCCACCACCTAACCACCTTTGTCAGCCGGCTCGAAAATAATCTTTGCCCGAAGCTACTAGGTCAGTCATTTCTATCAAGTAAAACACATGACTACAGGATTCCCTGTCATCTTGGATTGCAATAAGCTTTAATTAGTACTATAACAGTCATTGGTTCACATCAAGTGGACAGTACATGTGATTGGTGAGTGGAAACAACAGAGAGAGAAGAGGTGAGTTTATACACAGTACACACTACAGTCTGGTTTGTACACCCTTTGAATGTATTGTCATTTGTCAATTAATATAATGTCCATGAGTTATTTGAATAAAAAAAAAAAAGAAATATTGGATGACTTATATTGCATATCACATCCCGGGCTGGAGATGATCTGTTATGATGCAAAAAAAATAATGGTTCCATTTCAAAGTAAAACAATTAAAACATGCAGAAAAACAACACAAAACCTCAAAAAGTGTACAAAAACTGTATTTCTCCAGGACTGAAGGTGTCCCCATGGCTTGCCAAAGTTAAATAAAGCAGCAAAGTGTGCGATTTTTGGTGCTGACACACGCACACAAACCCACACACACACAAAAAAAAAGATTCACAACTGTTCTTGACTGCAGTGCCATCAGGGACAGAAAACGTATTTTCTGTTAAGTTTTAAACAAAAAAACCCCAGTCATGAAAACATACATAATTTCTCCTGCGCTGGGCCAGTGATAAATAATGCACATCCAAACATGGTATTTCCCCACCATATTCGCAAGCAAAGCGCTAAGTACTAAACAGATATGCAGATCTTGAAGTGGTTTTGCACTTAAATATGCCCGATATTGATTATCTCCAGCATGTAAAATGAATCCAGTCCCATGAGTACTCTGAATTTTCACCATTTTAGCTGTATGGAATGACAGTGTGATATCATGACATTTGCGAAGAAAAACAATTCATTCTAAACCTCAGCTGAGGCTCAAGTGAGGCTTCAGCAGTCTGATTTAAATTGATCAATCAATTCATTCTGAATATCTGTTTGAGGAGGAGCGGTCTTTTTTTTTTTTTTAAATGCACAACATTCAAGCGGTGATTAGGTGAATGAATTTGATATTGAAATTCGTCTTCGTAAACAGATTCTTAATCGTGTACCACAAAATCTTCAAACGTGTACATCTCCGGGGAAGTGCTTTAACCCTTTCAGGGACGGCGGTTACTACAGTGCACAGCTTATCGTGTGATCAGGTTACAGGGTGCATGAAAGTGGTAGTAACACAACTATTAAATTGACACGATGAAATAAACAATTTCTCGAAAACAAATAGAAGACACACGATAGCTCATGTTAATTTGAGAGTCGTCCCCTGGGTCATATTAAGAGAAAAATCACCACTTTTGAGAGATCACATTAGGCAGTTAAACTGGCATGATTGTAATTTAAAACTGATACAACGTGATATGTGCATGCATCAGCCGTAATCAATACAGTAGGTAAAACCAGTTATTGCTAAGATATCATTCACATTTTGACCTCCACCATCTCAAAACAGTGCGAGTACCTGTACTTAAAAAGGGTTCTCTTTCAATGTTACGTGTTCAGTGCAGGGTTTAATCCCAGTTAATAAGAGAGCACGATTATCAGGCCGTCTTGTCAGAGAACTGTTCCTAATCCGAGCGCACGGAGAAGAGCACCTATATCCCCCGAGCGGTGTGAAAGGCGCCTAAATGATGTCATCTTCTGTGCTTTTTAAGTTTTGTTTCGAGTGAACATGCACTCTCCCCGCAAGGTGAGGTGCTGCAGTTGGTATTGTAACACCTCAGTGTCCGATGATTCTTTGATCGTGATTTTGTCGAGATTAAGGTAGTCCAAAGACTTGGACTGGGTCCTCTTCCCTTTAAGGCGACACAGGGGTAGCGGTGCGTGCACGCCCCTCCCGTGATCCCCTGTCGTCATGGACCTGAGGGAGGTGTCACTCGAACTGGGCATGCGCCGCCTTCTCCGACCGTTAGCAGCAGGAATGTCGTAAGGCTGGTAGTAGCGATTTTTGGCTTTAAAGATTCTTGACGAGCGGTGGATGCCCAAATCTAAAGATTTGGAGGCACCTGTCTGGATGGGGCTGGGCACAGGCTCTGACAACAAACTCTTGTCGGGGGAGCTTTCTGACCATTTGTGCGCCAGTTTGAGCAGCTCCTCGCCTGTTGTGAAGCCCACCAGGTAGTTTGAGTCCATGTGGAGGATCTGGTATCCTGCTACAGTACCTCTTATGGGGGAGCATGGCGTGCTGGCGCAACGAGGTCTTTCCGCCTCCGCTTTCAACGTAGCTTTGATCTCAGCTGCGGGTAGAATGGAAACGTGAGCCCTCGACACTCCGCTGAGATCCACTTCCATCGTTACGGACCTGTACTGGGGGATGAAATGGAGACAAATAATTTTAACGTATTCAGGAAACTAGACGACATGAGGACACCAGTAGAAGACTAAAACATTCCTATAGCTTTGTCGAAGCCATATGTAGCTACGATTGGGCATTGTGTATCGAAATGTGATTGGTACCGAAACTCATGCTCTGATTCTCCTGGAATCTATCCCATTTTAAAATTTGATTTCCTTATTTCGGTGACTGGTCCGCTGACCACTAATGAATAAGCAGCAGTAAGTGCGCGTGTGCGTGCAAGGGTAAGGCAACGATCGAAAGTTTGGCTGAAACTAAAATTCAACGCACAGTATGCCGTGTTCGGTTCATGTCGCAATGACAAGCACGTAAGGGGACCGCGTACGCGTGTTTTGCACGTGGCTCCAATGCCGAGTACTGTCGAGTGCCCATCAGAAGAAGAAGCCGCTTGATTGAACACAGAAGTGAATGCGGGGACAGATGTTCAACATGATTACACCGGCATTTAACCATTTTTTCGTTTAATTAAAGACACGCTACATCTCAATAAATGATAATAAACATGCACACCATAAATAGATTTTTTTTCCGAATATCTTTTACAACGTCATTCACAAACGAAACAGCTTTTAGATTGTGATCGGACGATCAAGGATGCGGAAGCGGAACTTGTATGCGACAGCTTCCGCCTTAAGCGGCGGAGTGATATCACAAATTTTCAGATCGCAGCAATGTATTATGCACGCTGTGCACATCCGCTCGTCCATGCCAAGGCCGTTCGTATATCGAAAATAGAGGTCGTTTTTCAGAGAAAAGTTTGTGCTAAACTCGAAAAGGGGGGTTCCTAAATTCGATGTTCCACTGGACACAAAAGCATTGTCCTTCAAAATTAGTTTTACCAACAGATATTTTGAAGTGGATTTTTCCTCTGGATCACTTTATTGTAATTTATCTTTAATGCATTTGATACTTTTGTTGTGTTTTGATTCAGTAAAAAAAAAAAAAATCAATATATATCAATATAATGTGTTGAAATACTTCTATTTCAGCCATACTCCAAGCCCACGTGTGACTTAACTTTCTCGAGCAAACTTAGAGTTAACAAAAACTCAAGAAATAACTCAAATAAAAATTGAAAAAAAAAACCCAGTTTTTCTTTCCTGGAATAAAATAAAATAAAAACGAGAGTACGTTTCAAAAAACGAAACCTCAAAGAAGCTAAAGATGATGTTTTTAAAATGAACTAAAATTAACATGAAAATGTCCTTCGTTTTTGTCTTTGTCAATTTCATCCATCAGCTTTGAGGGCTTAAGTCTTTCTTTGTTGTTATTGTTGTTTTACTGTTGGGCCATACAGCAGAATGAAGGTTGAACAGTTGTGTGGGAATTGTAGTTTACTTTGTTACACACAATAATAATTGTGCCCCCCCCCCTTTTTTTTAAATCTTGCACTCAACAAATACACCGTATATATGAAAAACCTTTAACAGTAAAATAATGGCAACTAAACTGAACCAAAATATTTTTGAAAATCATAAAAATTGATAAATAATAACTAACCTTACCGAGAGCTACTTCACGTGTACTGATTGAAATAACATTTGTCCAAATTACCTTTAATAATATTAGAATGTGTTATTTTTAATATTTTCATGATTTTAATTTTCAGATTCTGAAAGGTGTCTCACAATACTGCCAGTGTTTGCATTTTTAAATCATAATATCGACTAGCAAATCACAATGTCCTAGCACTGGCGGGCTACTCAATTGGTCCTCATGGGCGCACCGGTTGTCCATGGGACACCGCATTGTTGACCCCTGGTATAGACCAATTCACTATTTTTAAATTACGCATACTAATGAAGGAAAACAAAACATTTTGTATAAAGTTTAAATAAAATCAACAAAAATACAATTGTTTATTTTAGTTTCTTTAGCACAGTGCAGTTCAAGTATTTCTTTCTGTATTTATAGATATTTTTATAGTTTTAGTGCAATTCTGCATAGTGCGTAGTTTCTTTTAAAATGCACGAATCATTTACAGCAAAAAAAATTTAAAGGCCACATTATAGCCTTCAATTGAACTTTAGCACCCTCATTTATAAACACGGCAGGAAAGCTGCAAAGTTTAATCAAAGTTCAATGTACTACCATATTAATTATCTTCAAGCTGCAATATCCGGTTGTATAAAATGAGCTGCTTTCCGGTGCGATATGCCGTGATTTACATATGATTCGATTAGTTGACTAATCGTGACTACTCTTGGTGATTAGTCGATGAGCAAAATAATCGTTTGTAGCAGCTCTCGTATCCACAGGTGTTATTTTTATTTTGTGATGTAGTGTGATTTTTTGTTTTCTAACGTAAAATATGTGATTTGTTGGAAAACACTGCATTAGACTCCACTCGTTGTCCCCAAACGACATACAGTACACACTAGGCTGCGTTACCATGTATAAAATGGCAATTGCTATGATATGTAATGATATATTAACGAACTGATCCGTACTTCTTTTCTTCTGGTTTCAGGTTTGAAATAGAGAGTGGAGAGATTCTGTTGGATTCACAACAAACCGGAATGTTTCTCTGTAAAAGCAGTAGGCATCCTTCGGGCTGTTGGCATCGCTGCATTGCCACGGTTACATTGTTGAAAACCAGCCTAAACCAGCGAGACCGAGAGAGAGGTGGGCTGCAAACTGCAGGGGCACGCTATGGCGCGGTGGCGTCAGCAATTGGACAGGGGCAAACCCGTGAGAATAGAAGACCACAAATGCTTGGATTATAACAAGAATCATCGTGTAAATTATACAGCAACACGGGACCATTAAATCAGAAGGCTAGGCGACATGACACGTTTATTGTAATACGTGTTGTCGGACAATTAAAAGGCCCGGTATGTCCCGATCACCGGTTAAAGAATCAGTAAAGCCACAAAATATTAAAAATACAACTAACAAACGTCATCAATAATCGCTACGCGTTGATGGTCTTGTAAACGTAATTATGTAACGCAAGTGCAGTGTAAATTGAGAGCGCAGTCGGATTTAAGCGCCTTTTACACGGTAGTAATAAACTGCATTCCTGTCATTTTCGGAACTTAATCTGCGTCGTAATCCATAGTGTGATACCTGGGTAAGGAGACGTGAGAAACTGACAGAAAATTCAAGAAAATAAAGCACAAACCTGTTTGGCAGCAGTAAGTAGGATGCAGCCTCTCCCTCTTGTCTGGCCTTCGCTCCCGCAGTCACCCGCAACAGGAGGAGCACTTCCTGTTTGGATTCATCACAACAAAGCTCCAAACGTGAGCAAGTGAATGCTGGGAGTCGAGCGTTTGCATTAACGTCGTGTAAGTATATATTCTTGTACACTTAAAAAAATTGGGCAATAATTCATATTAGTTGAATAAATATACGGGTGATTTCAGAATTGGAAGACATTTTACGTCCCACCCATCAAATTTGACATAATCCATATATAAAATACTAAAACATGAAGCTTCTGAGTAAATGTATTCGTCGTGAGACCAAATCTTAAAAAACAAAAAATCAAACAAACAAACAAACAAACAAACAAACAAAAAAACCTCAGAGAAAAGAATAAAACCTACGATTCCCCCCCCCCCCCCACCACCCCCCCTTTTTTTTTTTTTTTTTTTTTTTTTAGGTCCTTCGATTGGCGGTTGTGATATCTCAACCCATAACCTCTGGGTCGAGAAACAACCACTCTCTACCACAGGGCCAATTTTAAAAGCCAAATAAGAGGATATTTGAGTTTTCCCGTGCGTTTACATGGCTTTTCAAAACCTGAATACTGCCAATATCCAGGTGGTATTTTAAGCTTTCAACAGTCAACTATAGGCATATATAATTGTATAATGTGGTCTCTTTTTTCAAGCAGAGAGTGAGATGCATGACAAATGGATCCGGGAAAGTGTCACAATGAGCAGCCACTTCGGCCAAGGTGCTGGCCAACTCAGCGACAGACCATTATTCAGCGGCTGCTTGTCAGATCCTCACTTCTCCGAGGACTGCCTGGTGAACCTTGCCCATACGAAAATGGATTGGTCGGGATATTAACTCTTCAAATCGGCTAAAATTCACATTCAAACTTGCTGGAGAGGCCAGAGTTGAAAGTGAATCAAACCGCTAGCGAAATAATAACATAATATTACTGTTAATGTACTACCATGAGCGCTGTCAAGTGCATATATATATATATATATATATATATATATTTATTCTTGTCATGAAGAATAAAAATAAAAATAGCGGTAGCACGAAGAAGAAAAATAAAAAATAGCGGTAAGAAAGAAAAGAGAAGAAAATAATAGAAGAGATAATTTAATATTTTCATAACTTCTATTGGGTGGGCCGGTGGTCCAGTGGTTAGCGCGTTGACCTTACACTCTAAAATGTCCCTAGGTGTGATTGTGAGCGTGGATGGTTGTTCGTCTGTACACTGCGATTGTCTGGTAACCGGTTCAGGGTGTCCCATGCCGACTGCCCGAAGACGGCTGGGATAGGCTCCAGCACCGCCCGCGACCCTTGTGAGGATAAGTGGATCGGAAAATGGATGGATGATGATTTGATAAAAACAATAAAGTCGAAGATTAAATATCTTGCCTTTGTAATATATTAAATGAAATATAGGTTGAACAGGATTTGCAAATCATTGTACCGTATTCTGTTTTTATTGATGTTAGACACAATGTCCCAACGTCATTGGTTTTGGGTTTGTAGACTGTTAACTCTGGAAGGTGGTCACTAATGAACTTTACTAAAAATATACTTACTGTTTTATTATCTATGCAATTGGAAAATAAATTGTCAATTCATGTTGCCCAATGTGTTGTGATTCGACAGGGTCTAGTACGTTGGGGACATAACCGATTCTGTATAGCTTCTTGATGAATTCATTTGATGCTTCTAAAAACAGATGTATAGGGAAGTTGCTACCAATAAACATGACTTCATGATTTGTAATTGTGAAGTGTTCCTCCATCTAGTTTTTAAATGTGTCTTTATTTGTAACTGGTGTTCTATGTACACAACTTACAATGACATTTTCCTTTTATTCTCTACGTATCTCCATTGTTATACATTCAAGCATTCATTCATTCTCGTATATCTCCAGCAGGGGAAAGAGGAGGGCCTCTCTTCGGGGTCGCACACCTGTTGCTCATGTAATCAAGCCGACTATTTCAGGAGTTCTCTGTCTTCATTTCTCTGTCGGAAAATTTTCCTTGCTCACAGCGCTGCTTCCAAGACACAAATTCTTCTCGGCATTCGTCTCCGTTTTCCGATTCATTTGATTTTTGTGGTTATTGTGAGTGACAAGTTTGGTATTGTACGTGTTTTGAATTTTTCTTGTCAATTTTCTGGTGAGCTATTTCCTTTTATATTTTGTTCCTTACCTTTGCAAGCATTTTTGGTTTACTCATTATTCTGATGTTGTACCAGCGACTTTTGTTATACTTTGTTGTTCTTGTGGCCTGTTTTTTCTGTAATACCGTATTGGCCCGAATATAAGACGGTGTTTTTGTGCATTGAAATAAGACTGAAAAAGTGAGGGTCGTCTTATACTGTATTCGGAGTCTAGACATTATACCCATTCACGACGCTAGATGGCGCCAGATATAATTGAAGCGAATCCTGAACTTGGCTCCCCAGGCCAAAGCGAACCCTTGTCATGAAGAATAAAAATAAAAATAGCGGTAGCACGAAGAAGAAAAATAAAAAATAGCGGTAAGAAAGAAAAGAGAAGAAAATAATAGAAGAGATAACAGAAAATGGAGAAACGTAGCGACAATCTGAAGAAAAGTGGGTCGAAGATCGGCCAGGTGAACCCGCAGCTGAGGAGAAGCTATGATGTAATTTACATTTCAAAAACCAGAAGTCATTCATTTACGAATGTGATTGCACTTTAGTTTACATATTTAAATGCTCAGATATTAAGATTTGAATGAGGCAAAATAACATGCTTTTCTCTCAAATATATTGTTATAATCATTTGTTTCAGATGTACTGTAATTATTTTCTGGATAAAAATTAATTTGGTGTTCAAAAAGTCTTTTTTCAAACTTGAGTCTTGAAAAAGAGGGGCTCGTCTTATAATCAGGTCTGTCTTATATTCGGGTCAATACGGTATATATTTTTGTTCATTCTTTCCGAATTCATATTTCTGGAGTCCAATTGTACTCTAAACTTTCCGGATGTCTGACACATTTTCTACTACTTTATCATCATATGTCATGTTCTCATACATTGACCAGCACCATTTTGGTTTCTCCTATTCATACACAGTGACTCATATCAAAGTCAAAAATCCATGTCCCTTTCATGGTTAATCCATGTTTCCGAGATCAAAACCATATTAAAAGGCAGTTATATTACAGGACAGTGTCGCTGACGGTGTGGTGGTACACTTGCATGATTTGGGTGCAGTCAGTATGGGATTGTCTCACACTCCGTGAGAGTGTGGATGTGGGTTTTGAATGTTTTTTGGTCTCTATATGTGCCCTGTAACTGAAAGCCGACCAGTTCATAGTGTAGTTCCCCTTCCGCACCAAGACAGCTGGGATAGGCTCCAGCTCTTTGTTCCTCTAAGAGACTTTGCACGTTTTATTATGGCTTTTCTGTCTTTGTATCTGAAGAGTTTGATAACAATGGGGCTTTATCATCATACGTCATGTTCACATACATTGACCAGCACCATTTTGGTTTCTCTTATTCATACACAGTGACTCATATCAAAGTCAAAAATCCATGTCCCTTTCATGGTGAATCCATGTTTCCGATATCAAAACCATATTAAAAGGCAGTTATATTAAAGGACAGTGTCGCTGACGGTGTGGTGGTACACTTGCATGATTTGGGTGCAGGCAGTATGGGATTGTCTCACACTCCGTGAGAGTGTGGATGTGGGTTTTGAATGTTTTTTGGTCTCTATAAGTGCCCTGTAACTGAAAGCCGACCAGTTCATAGTGTAGTTCCCCTTCCGCACCAAGACAGCTGGGATAGGCTCCAGCTCTTTGTTCCTCTAAGAGACTTTGCACGTTTTATTATGGCTTTTCTGTATTTGTACCTGAAGAGTTTGATAACAATGGGCCTCTGTCACCACCACGGGGTTCCCTTGTGATGCGCCCGCTCTACCTCCATGTCACTGAGATCCACCCCCTTACCCCCCACCTCTTGCCATTCTGCTCTGTGAAGGGTCATAAGCTTCCTCCACTAGAGGTCCACTTTTGAGGAATGTCACCAGGCAAAAACCACTTCTGAGAGAGAACATGAACTAAAGAGGGCAAAAACAATGAGGACGCAGTTAAATGTGAAATTACCATCATTTTTATTCTTTAATCTATTCTTTGTTTTTTACATTATGCACAACTCTCATTTATTGTGCAATAATCTAATTGTAACATGTATTTGTTTGCATTTTTATGCTTTAGGAAACATTTGTGTCTGAATTTTGGGGGGGCTTGGAACGGATTAGGGCATTTACGTGGAAAACACGTCTCTACTTACGATATTTTCTAGTTAAGAAATTTCTTCCAGAACCAATAATTTTTTTAAGTAGAGGTACCACTGTATTATTATCCACACATTTTCTAATCTAGTTAAAAAAAAAAAGGGAAAAAGTATTCCTTGATGAAGTTAATTAATTTCGTAAATAGAGGTACCACTGTACTGCACATTATGAGAAGCTGAGTCATGACAGTTGTAATCTATGAAACAAATAGTTGAGTCAGAACACGTTTGCATATGGTGCAATTTTTTTTTTAATTCTCAAAAGCATTGCTCAAGTCACATTGACGTCTTTACAAAGGAAATCGAGAGCCTTATATTCATTCAAGTTTCAAACTGTAGGTTTTTGCCTTCAAAGATGTAATCAGCAAAACTGGACCACCGTATTGGATGTTTTCAAAGAGAAATCTTATGTCCTTCAAAATTTGACATTCGTGCATTGTTGATTCAGTGATGAATTGACAATCAGGTTGAAGGAAACTTGACAAAGGCGGGACCATTGAGAGGATTTCTTAGCAGCCAGAACTCACCGATTACATCTGTATTTTGCTTGCATGTGTGATCTCTACATATTCTGATAACAAATGTCATGTTACAACAAATATGAAATCATCCAAATCAGTCCAGCCTGTGGTGCATTTTTATGTTGCATTTCAAACACACTGGACAATGACATTGATGATTGACTGGGCAGCGCTCCAGTGGCTTTATGACACAAAATCACCTTGTAGTTCTAGGACCGGATGAAGCATGCATTCTGAACTCTGTTACCAAACTAATATATTTGAGTTTCTTTACTTCAAACTATGAGACACAGAAGGCAGCTAGCATGATTCTTGATTTAGAAAATTAGGATGGTTGAATAAATGGCCCTGTTTGCATTTGCAGTTCCGTTAAGCATACCTAACAGAAAGGCACCATTGATATTTTTACACGCTACGATATACATTGCTATTTTTACACACTGCTACATACCTGTGTATGGCACTTCATCTACAAGACATCAACAATTTTGTACATTTTTTTTAATTTATAAAACTCTATCTTCACTACATCATTAAAATAAAAGTTTTGCTTTTCATTTATCATTCAAAGTGTTTTTTTTTTTTTGCCGCAAATAATTTAGTACAAAATAAAGGTTAAGTAGTGATTGTAATTTTTCTAAACAAGCAACTACTTTAAACAGTTCTTGGTGACGGCGCTGGATGACATGAGTTGCAGGTCACCATTTCGTGATGTTGCAGTAGTCCTACTGCTATCCTTGGCCCTTAACAGCAGGGCTTTAGCGTTTTCTATCGAAATGAATGGTGTGTGATCCCCCTTCGTATCCTCTGGTTGATTGGCCAACATGCTGTCAATACTGAACTCTTTATTATGTGGCACATGACCGTTAATAACCGCTGCTTCTTTGATGCTGTGGTTATTGATAATGTTGTTTGCATTCACTAGCTTCTCTGTGGATGCTGAGATCATACGACTAGCTGCAGTAGTGACTGTGACTTGGTACTTATCATTCTTCATAGCACAGAGCGGGCTAGGTGGCAAGCTACGTGCTTCCTGGCCATGGTTGTAATGTGCGGAGGTCCTCTTTAGTTCATCTCGGCTTAAGGACTTGGGTGGTTGATGTGCCTTTGACAGCAGCAGGGGGCGCTTCTCCTCAGCAGAGGGGCTTAAAGCCACAGAGGGGACGGAGATGGCTTGGCTGGAAAGAGTGGCTGACATCTCTGAGGGAGGAGAGCTTGGAGTTGCAGGAGGGCTGCAGGAAACTGTAGACAGATGAGGCAGGATTTTCTCATCTGATTGACGCCTGTAACAAACGCACACACACACACACAAAAAAGACAAGAACAGATTAGGACTGCCAAGATTAGTTGACTAGTCACGACAACATCGTGTATCTGGTCCACTGGAAGGGCTATGGACCAGAGGAGCGCCAGTGGATCACCCACTCCAGGATCCTGGACCCGTCGCTTCTCCATACATTCCACTCTTCTCACCCATCGAAACCAGGTAGTCCGGCAGGAGGCGTCCGTGAATTCTTCTTGCTCATGGCTCTGCCACAAAGTCTTGGATTCTTGTAGACGTTCCATGTTTCATGCCCTTCGTTTTTTGACCTCGCCATGTTTTTTGTACTTACCTGTGTAAGGTTTTTTAAAAATTGTAATTACTTGTCACGTTTTTGGTATCATACACGTTTTGGGGTTTTCTTGTCTATTTATTGGCAAGGTATTTCTGTTTATATTTTGTCCTTGCCTTTCCAAGTGTTTTGGGTTGTTTCATTTTCCGGGTCTTTTACCAGTGTCCTTTGTTGTACTTTGTTGGTCTTGCGCCCTGTTTTTTTTGTCAATACTTTCTGAGTTCACATTTCTGGAGTCCAGTTCTGTCCGGAAACCCTGATGAAAAACTGCATTTTCAAATACTGCATTGCACATTTCAGGAGAAGAGGGTACAAATAGGCTGAGGGGGTTTAAGAACAGAATGAATAGTTGTAAATAGTATACGGTTAGTCTAAGGTTTGACAAATGAACCCCTTTAGCCACACTAACGGTGTCCTGCAATCTTCCAGAATTTGATGAGACCTGCAGCTGTGTACTTCAAGTTCGGCAGGGTTATTAACGACAACGACACTCTTCTCTGTGGTGCGTCAACTTTAGAAGACATAAGTGGATTTATTTTCACTTTACATGGGCTTCAAATGTACATTGTGTAGGATTGTAATATCCATCCAACCATCCATTTGCTATACTAAATATGCTCATTAGGTTAGCGGGTGGGGAGCTTATCCCAGCTGACTTCTGATGAGAAGCAGGATACACCCTTGATGGGATGCTACCAAATCGCAGGTTACATTTGCTGTAGCCAAACAACCATTTCCACTCACATTCACCCTAAAGGACAATTTAGAGCCTCCACACAGAAAAGGCAGGGCCTCGATTCAAACCCACAACCTCTGCACTGGGAGGCAGACATGCTAACCACTCTGCTGCTGGGATTCAAAATTTTTTTCTCATTTTGGAATGCTTTGCACTTAGATTTTTCTTGTATGCTTCGTCTGGAAAGTCTTGGAATTATTGTTGGTCTGACTAGTTCTTGGTGACGCAAAGTTGAAATTAATCAGTTACCTCATACTTTAAGGCACATCCCTGTTGGAGTCGGATATGTCTCGGCTCTTCTTTGAATGAGCACTTAGGTCTTTGACGCCACCAGTGGCATTCAGCCGACCCCTACGGGCTTGTGTAGCATGCTGGCTATTCTCCATCAATGACATCATGGAGACAGAGTCAGTGTCAGACACAACACTGTTGCTCCAGTCATTACTCCAGCTGTGGAGACAGGGAGGGGGACGTTTATATGTAGACAGTTCTCAGACAGGCTTCTTGAAAATGATGACAATGTTTTGGAGGTCAAATTCAGGGATTGTCATATAAGGTGGTGAAACAAAATACTAAGTTAAGGATACTGTCGTTTCTGCCGAGGTCAGTTTCATGATTTTTTTTAATTTAATTTTTTTTAATAATTTTGTAGTACCAGTTATTTCAGCGACCGTTGTTCATTGTTTTGTTTTTTTTTTTTAAACAAACTTCTTCAAATGTGTTTGTATCTGTCCATATACCACACAAGCTCTTAAGGGTCGAGACGAGAATGTCAATAATCTTTGAATTCATCTTTTAGGCACACTCAAACTGAAATTTGTTGAAGCATCATTCAGTTTTCAGAAGATTCATCCAATGGTTCGAGCATCTCCTATTAACAGATCCTATTTCAAGTGAGCCTATACCGCATATCGCATTCTGCAAAATAATTTTGGCATGCTGACAAGGTTAACTGGAGCTTTAATTATCAAGAAAACAGCCAAAAGACATTAGCTCCGACCACTGTGCTTCATCAATTTGCTAAGCCGATACTGAAAAAGACCCTTTCCAGTTAGCATGTTACTCTTCCACCAGTCCTTGAGCAAGCCAAACCCATGTTTAATGTGAGGGTGGTCCATATGCACCACTTGCCAGAAAATCTTCAAGCTCACACAACAGTTCCCGGTTGTGAAAATTCGTGGTGATAACTCCAGGCCTCTGAGATGATCAAGAGTCAAGAATGACAGAGTCACAGGGGCCCTATTTGAGGCAGCGTTGTCAATTTTTCTCCCACTACCAACAAAGCCACTACGGGCACGCTGCAACATCCAGTAAGTCATTTTTCATAGGATAAAGGTCACGTCATGTGGAACAAACAATTGACGGCATTTTCACCAAAGAATTCAATCATTAGCTCGGTCAAATCTTAATCGTAGTTTTAAACCACAGGTGTCAAACTCAAGACCCGGGGGCCAGATCATATGGCCCGCGAAAGCAAATCATCTGAGTCAATTTCCATGATCTTTGCTAAAATCTGTACTGAAATATCAAATTTTTTGCTGTCATAATGGCAGGAAAATGGAATTCCAAAGTGGCCCGCGACAAAAATGAATTTGACACCCCTGTTTTAAACCCTTAAAGTGCTCAAACGCCAACACATTGGAGCTGCCCCATCATCTTAAAATCGCTCCCATGGATGCATGTGAAGAAAATGGTTCTCTGTGTGGTATAATGTCTGAAAAACAAAAATGAATACAGCGATTTTACTGGGGAACCCAATGCGTAATTTATTTCTTTTTTCAGCTCCGAAAACAGACAAACCGTCTACCACAGCAGAAGCAGTGTCTTCTTTGTGTATCTTTTAAGAAAACTACGGATGAGTATGAGCCAATAATAGGTGTAAATTTAACGATCAGACTGAAATGGGAGTGGTTCTGAAATGAAGAAATTGGGACTCGCAACCTCCACATGATGACATCAGTGCCAACATTTTATTTGAAGTCTCCCTTACCTTTGGCTGGAGATGTTGCTGAGTGTGGTAGGTTGTTGTGTGGATAAGGCATATTTGCTTGTGGAGAATGTTGTCTCTGTCTCTTTCTCAGCGGCGTGTTGGATCGCTGTCCCATTACACTGCTTTCAAAAAAGTTGTTTTTAAAAGATGGAAAGTAAATGATTAGTATTAACCATAGTATAGTTTTCCCATTTGAAGCATGACATGACAGTTGAAGCATACATTGGCCTGCTGCAAATCCTGTAGAGGCAAATTGGAAACCTGCCGTCGACTGGCTGATTTTGCCATCTTGTTCCTCTTCGTTCTCAGGTTCTGCCTGAGACGGTCATGGAGCTTTTTCCTCTGCTTCCTGTTTTAGAAGAAACACACTCCATTTTGGGGCTACTCAGAGCACATCAACTACAATTTAATCAGTGACCCTTAAAATCAATAGAGTTATGTTTTGACTGTGGCAGCGGTCGCTTAATACATACGGCATGTGGTTGGATATACCCACCACAGTACACTATAGTTATAGCGTCCAAAAGTAACCGGAAATCCATGTTGTGATCCAATTGATGATACAGTATTTAAGTTCTGTACCAGATTAGGTTGCATAGATTTTCAGTCACTGATGGACACTATAATTCAAGATGTCAAACTCAAGGCCCGGGGGCGAGATCTGACCCGCCACATAATTTTATGTGGACCGCGAAAGCAAGATGTCAACTTTCATGATGCTTCCTAAAATCGCGACCAAAATTTCAAATTCTCATTTTGTAATAAATAAGAGTGATACTGTAAACATTTTATTGTTATCAAACCCCTCATTACAGTATCTTAAACAATAGGTGAATAAACCGTGATTCTTGACTTTTTTATATGGTTTCAGTCACAACAGCCCTCCAAGGGAAACTAACTAAAATCTGGCCCGCAACAAAAATGAGTTTGACACCCCTGCTATAATTCAATCATTCACTGAAATTTTTAGCTATGCAAAATCATCCATAAAAAGGTGGCATACTGTACTTTGTTTTGCAGTAGGCAACCACACACATGATTCCAACCACTAGGAGGGCAATGCAGATTCCTGTTATTGTTAAAATACGTTTCTGATACAGCTCCTCAGCTTCTGAAAAAGAAGTTAGTATAGTCTTTAAAATTCATGTCAGAGAAACACACACGCACGCACGCACACACACACACAGATCATATATTTGATCACTTATTCTTTGACATTTTAGGGGAAGCCGAGCTTCCCTTGCAGTCCGATAGCAATTGCCACTGATATATCAGCGGCATTCCGTCAGGGCCAGCAAGGCCTTCTCTGCTGGCCGAAACATTCTCAGAAAAGTAAATTTAATTAATTTACTTTTCTGAGAATAACAAATTTAATTTGTTATTTTTTTTTTATAAGTATGTAAAAAAAATTATTCTCTGTATTCTTTAACGCCATATTATTTCCACTTAGTCGAGTGGCTTTCAATGTTAGTTTAAATAACATTGAAAGCCACTCGATAAATAACTTATTTATTATGGTAGACGTTTTAACGAATCATTTTTCAGCTTGCTTGTGTTGCCAGGTAAATTAAACTTGCTCGAGGCCTTCAGATTAAACAGAGCAGGCCCCTGTGCGCTGTAAGTGAACGGGCATAGTCAGGTTGCAATAGCCAGTACGTCTGCGTACTAGGGCCAGCTAGAAGGCCTTACGTCGAGAATGGCCGTGCACGTTCGGTGATTGGAATAGCGCCTTTTCTGTTTACTGAGAATTGTATCCTGACTTGTTCAATAAAGATTCTTTAAAAAAAAAAAAGATTGGATTAGCGCCTGCTAGAGCTATCACTGCATTTTAACCCAAAATGGCCGAAGGAGAAGACGTTGATCTGGTTGCAGAACTACT